CCCCAATCAGGAATTGTTTCTCATAGACGATATCGAATTATTGCATCATGGAATATTCACGATAGTAGAGAAATATAAAGTTTAGCATCCTAGCCTTGTACAAAGATCCAAAACAAAAACAAATAGAATAGTTGGGTGCAACAATCATAAAAGACATCATAATTTTTATGTGAAAATTTCTCAACGAGGAAAAAATCACATGGCCTTGCCCAATCGAAATGATTCTACTAGTGTTGGTGGTTAATTATAAATGATGTCCTCCAAATGAGAGCATTGGCCCAATATAACAAATACATATTGTATAGAGCATATTATATAGTTGGAGAACAACATAACACTTGTTCTTATGAGAGTGCAGCCCTGTTTGTTTGGACTGTAGGGTTGTAGAACCTTTTTTTGGATGATGGTGGTCGGAGGGACCATAATAAGCGGGCGACGGAGCTTGGAAGGACGGTAGTTTAGTGACAGTGGTTGGAGGGATTGTAGATAGTGGGCGAAGGAGGACGGAATGATCGTAGTTGGGAGACGATGGTCGAAGGGACATTTGTCGATGCATGATAGTGGTCGGAGGAAGGACTAGCAGTAGTAGCTAGATGGAGATCCAACGATGATGGTCAGGCAAAGGTTCAACAGTGGTGACCTGGATTTGTCGGCAATGATGCCGAAGTGGAGCTCAAGGATTCTTCAAGTTCCAAAGCTCCTCTTCTTCCATTTTCCTCCCCCTCCTTCATCTGAAAAATGAGGGTCTATTTATAGTTTATTCGGAGTAACATGGTCAGTTAATATAGAAAAATTCAGTGTAAATGTGGAGTTTTCGATTGGACGACCTACATTGATTCCCTTGATCATGGAGAGTTTTTCAAGCATTTAAGTGTCTTAATGACGTCAGAATTAAGTGATCTTGGGCTTGTTAAATTCGTCTCGTCGAGCCTCTTGATTCGACTATAAGCATATCATATTCGAATATCAATTGGTCATCCAAATAATGTTTTGAAGCTTCAAAAAATATTTTGATCCTTTGATTTGGGCTCGGATTAGACTGCATTTTGGTGTCATTGAGTTCGTCTTCGTGAGATGTTCAATTCGACTACAAGCTTGCTGAAATCAAAGTTTGGATAGTCCCAAATCTAATTTTGGAAGTTCCTTATTCATATTTGCATCGAGATTTGTGCTCGTTCAAGACAATTTTTTGGTGGCATATCAATAGCCATGTACCTAACCTAGTTTCAATTTTCAAAGTCCTCAACAACTTCGAGGATTTTCATTAATTACAAACAAAAGAATCATAATTTATGATTCATATTCGCATCGAGAATCGTGCCCAATCAAGATGATTTTTTGGTGAGATATCAACAGTCATGTATTTGACCTAGTTCCAACTTTCAAAGTCCTCGACTACTTTATGATTTTTATTAATTACAAACTAAGAAATCATGATTTAGAATTCATATTTGCATCGAGATTTATGCCCGATCCCCGCATGTTGGAATTAACAGGGGCAAAAGAAAGAAGATTGTGGATGTGGTTAAACAACAATAACAACAACATCACGCCTTTATCCCACTACGTGGGGTCGGCTACATGAATCCTTTTTCTCCATTGTGTCCTATTAAATCTAAAAGAAAATGAGAAAACAAATGCGTGAATGCTTACAGTGAATGTTAGTTGAAGAGTGGGGAAGGGATGGCAAATGGCAATTGTAATTGTTGCATATTCCTAGTGTGTTTCCACTATTTAGGAATATCATAGTCAAATAGTCAATGTACTACGAGGTTTCCTAAATAAATTAATTGAAGAATCTTAATTTGCTTCAAGCATAATCGACAATAGGTACTTAAAATTCACAAAAAAACAACAATAAAAAATCAAGTTCTTATGATGTCTTGGAAACATATAGCTAATTCTTTCATTTAATTAAGCTTATTTTACAAGTATAGAAACAGGTTGTTAGCCAGTATAATCATTATTGTTTATTACTCAATTTTCTAAGCCTAAGAAACCTAAAAAAAATCAAATAACATATTATTATGGATCAGTGACCATTGTTACATGCAATTATGTAATAATTTGTCCAACCGAGTGTTTGGGCTATGGATTAGGATCTCTCCAATTACCAAACTAACTGTATCTGCAGCTGCAATTAGGAATCTTAGACTTCATTTGGGACAATTTTCTTATTTCTTCTTAAAACAGCTTTTTAATAAAAAAAATAATTTTTTTATTAGAAAGTTGCTTTAAAAAACAACAAGAAAATTGTTCAAATGAAGTCTTAGTCATCTAATCAGCTTAAATGGTCGGGATGCTTTATTCATAATATTTACATAACCATTCTACTTCATTCAAATGTAATAGCAACAACAACAACAACAACATCAAGCCTTTGTCCCACTACGTGGGGTCGGCTACATGAATCCTTTTTCACTATTTTGTCCGGTTAAAAATCAAATTCTCATTTAAATCTAATAAAGAAAGATCATTTCTAATATTTTCTAATCAAGTCTTTTTAGGTTTACCTCTACCTTTCTTAACATAAGTCAAATCTAATACCTCAACTTTCTTAACCGGGTCATCGGAAGGGACCGATGCTGTTCAACAGGGACTATAGACCAGGCTATCTCCGAGCTGCAATCTAGACCCAGGAATCTTTTTATGCACCCGACCAAAAAAGGGAAAGGTTGCTTTTAGGCATAAGCAAAGCAGGTAGAGGCGCTAGAAAGAGGACGTGTTACCTAATTCCAAACCCAAGGCTACGGTGACGTAGATAGAAGAAGAGAAGACGGCCGCTATTGAATTGAGAGATGCTTTTTGTCATAATCAAGCTAGAACTCTGAGTGAAGAAGAAAGAATAGAATTCTCGATATGATAGGCCACCAGGACATAAATGGCATTGACGTAGGAGGTGTTGAGTCTTCTTCTTTTGACTTAGTCATGATCTTTATGGTGAGCTCCTTACCATCTGAGCAGAAGAACAACATAAAGCATATGCTAGATAGATTTTGACTCGTTAGACATGTACCCCAAAGCTAGCGCCTTTGCCACTGGGAGTGTTTTAATACCTCAACCTTGCTTAACATAAGTCAAATCTAATACCTCAACTTTCCTAACCGGGTCATTGGAAGGGCTCCGTTTAATGTGACCAAACCATCTAAGGCGACTCTCTGCTACTCCAACCTTTTCACGTATATGCTCATTTCATATCCTAACTCTAAGGGTCAAGCCATACATCCACCTAAGCATCCTCATCTCTGCAACACTTAACTTAGTATCATGTTTCTCTTTTAATGGCCAACATTCGGCACCATAAAGCATTGCAGGTCTCACCACCATCTTATAGAATTTTTCCTTAAGTTTGAGGGGGACTTTTCTATCGCACAATAAGTCCGATGCATTCCTCCACTTCAACCATCCAACTTGAATTCTGCTAATAATAACTCAAACAATTTCACTCAGAATAAATTTACAATCTTTGCAATCTAAACGATCTAATTTTCTTATAAGAAAATAATCAATCTACGTTTTACTATATCCATTTTTATAATTGATAAGATGTTCATCTCTTTTCTTAAATAAGGTATTAGCTATTAAGAAATCATAAGCTAAAGAAAAATTTAATATAGTTTTACCACCTTCATTTGTCGTTCCAAACCCATCGCCACCATGGATGCTTTTAAAATCATATACCTCTCTACCAACATGTTCATTTAAATCTCCTCCAATAAAAACTCTTTCTTCAAGAGGTATATTTTGTATTAATTCTTCTAAGTCAATCCAAAATTTTAATTTTGAACTCATATCCAACTTATTTGAGGAGCACAAGCACTTATAATATTAACAATTTTAGCATCAACAACAATCTTTAAAATCATAATTCTATCTCCAATTCTATTAATTTTTATAATATTATCCTTCAAACTCTTATCTATAATCACACCTCCACCATTTCTAATACGACTCCTACCCGAATATCATAGTTTATATCCTAAACTATTAATCTCCTTAGCTTTCTCTCCAACCTATTTAGTTTCTTGAATGCACAGAATATTTATCTTCCTATGAATCATAATATCTATTAACTCCATTAATTTTCCTATAAGGAAGCCTATATTCAAAGTTCTTATCCTAATTTTTGTTTCATTGACTAGCTTATTTGCCCACATCCGTCCTTGATGTGGTAGTCCTTGCCTATTTAACACTGCATTCGGGCGCTGGTGTAGCGGCCCTTGCACACTTGTCACTATATTCAGGTCATACAACACGTCGCTTTCAAGGGACGCCCTAGCATTAACACAATTTTTTAAAGGATTCATGTTATGATTATTCGATAAGTTTTATGCTGGTTGTCGACTACCTAACGCAACCCTCCACTTTTCTCATTCAGGACTTGGGAACTGGCAACGGTAATATTCAGTCAAATGTAATAGCATCCATCCAAATTGGAGTGAATTATTCAGTGAAAAAACTACAGAAGGATGGTTGATGATGCCACGGATTCAATGAAACCTAAACGTTATAGATGAATTTAAAAAAAAAAAAAAAAAAAAATAAAAGCAGAGAAAAAAAAAAAAAAAAAAGAGTAATAGAAGCAGAGAAAAAACGCAGAATTATCACGCACTGTACTTTGTTTTTATAAATATGCCAAATATGGGGGCCGCGCACACAGTAACAGTCTTCTGGATAAAGCGTTCTGAAAAAGCGTTGTCTAAAAGAATTCTGGAAAAGCGGTGTGAAAAGTGTTGCAGAAAAGTTGTGATGCTTGATACGCTTTTTAGGAAAACTCCACCAGAATTGGTATCAAGTGCAGAGTGTCAAGCCCAATAGATGCACTCAATTGGTTAAGAATCCAAATAATTAATTGTTTTTCTGCCGTATTGTTGTTTTGGATTCTGAGAAGATGCTGAATCAAACTACAGAAGCATACCAAATTAAATTCATCTTCTTAGAATACTGTTCTATAAAGACATTTCGATATCCAGAGGAAAGTAAAAGGCTAAGATATCTACCTCAGACGCCCATCCTCATCGATAGGTGGCGGTGTGATGAGCACAATAACAGTCGTCGGCCAGCGCTCCTGCGCTCCAAGCAATAAGTAGTCAAATAAGTATCCCAATACAGTTTCTTGACTTTAGCATGTATTACAACAATTTTAGATCATCTGATATACCCTCAATCAGGAGTATCGAATTTCTATTAATCCCATTATAATAAATTAATTGGTCTTCGAATGATTCCAATTAACGTACCATATTTATAAACAACATCAGGGTGAGCTCACCCAATAAATGGAACAGAAGCCAACAATACAGTGAGTTCAAAGAAAGATCTAAAGAGATATAATACCTTGAAGAAGGAGATAATAGATCTGAGATTGCTTTGATACTCATCCAGAGGCACATGCTGGAATCCGCTGCTCCGATCATGTATTGAAGCATCGTTAGCTCCGAAGAACACCGTCAAAGCCAGCGGCCACTCTCCGTCTTCGCACACGCCGTCCAATGCTCGCGCCGCCACCTTCAACGCCCACCTCGTGTTGTACCCGCTGTAGCCGCGCAACACCACATCCGCCTAATCACGCGCAAAATCCAAACCCCTTACAAGCCATCGTTTATAAGAGGGAGTCGGTGATGTGGAAGAAAGGTGACGCAGAAGCTCACCGTGCGAGAGAAATGGTCTGCGAGGGCTGCACCCCAGCCTCCATTGGTGAAGGATTCTTCAGTGATGGAATCGCCGAACAAAATCACCTTTGGCCTCATGACCAATCGCCGAGGTCTGTTCTAGCTCTGCTGCTCAACGGAGCTCCCTCATTATTCGGAGTTTTTGGGGATCCTCGTCCGGGTCTGTGGTCGGAAATAACAAATATTAAATAAGCATATAGCTAATATTATCTAGAGTGGCGGGACTTGAGGAGATTGCCCTGAAACGGACAAAAGAATTACGCATCCAACTCGACTTGCACGCCGGCAGAGATGGGTTAGAGGATTTTTTTTTTTAAGCAAATGTTTAATTTAAATTAAAAATAAGAATAAAATATTTAAAAATTTAAAAAGAAATAAATTAGTCAAATAGGATGACACCATTTATTGTATGCATTCTTTAATACTATGCATTGTTATAGTTCTACAAAATTCAATTCAGCTAGCTAAGCAGTATGTGGGGTGAATGCGCTAATTTGTATGGCGCATTCTTTAGAATGCACAAATTTGTTTAACTTATTTGCTCTGTTTTAAATTTTAAAACTTGCAGGATTTCAAAAAATTTGATAAAAATGCCACTGAATGTTACATATTAGTTATATTATTCATGCATGCATGAAACTTCTTCTCATTGAATATGAGTTTCAAATCTCAAAACACAAAAGGTTCACTTCAAATATAACATGTTAAAAATATTTAGAAAATAATTTTCAAATATAATGATCTTGAAATTTAATAAACTTGAAGTAAAAATGACACAAAATCTTCTTAAAATTGATTGTTGTAATTGTGTGATTTGATTCAATTATCTTAGATTTGAAAGACCATTCTCGTCCTAGGGAATCGAACATTTCCCTAGCCACCCCAAGTGATTAACCTTTAGTTGGAATTAACCCTATAAGCCATGTAATATAGCACATGGAAGTGGTCCTATCACTAGGGTAAGGGTAAGAGGATATGAAGCTCAAGCCATGAAGAGCAAGCATACATGAAGAAGTATTTTATGTATTTAGTCTAAGGTTTTATGTATTTTCATGTATTTGATGTTGTAAGTATTATATGGACTTCATGTGATGCATTTTTCTTAGTTATTGTATAATAAGTTGAGTTCAAATTATGAAAGAGGTTGCAAGGGCCGATCATGCTAGTGTCCATGAGACAAGGAGGTGGTTATAGGTGCTTACTAGTGGGCAAAGAAAGGGGTTGACCCCTCCCTCCTCTCTCTTTTTTTTTTTTCCTCTTTGCTTTGAATTTGAATGAAGAGATGTGTCTCTTTATGTAATTTCAATCATCTAAGAATTCCTTTGGACTGAAATTAAAGAGATATCATTTGTTTGCGCTTTTTAGAAAGAAAATTCAAGTGGCTTGGAGGTTTGGTGGTTGACCAAACTCAAGGAGACTGATTGATTTTCTTGAACTTCTACTTTGGCGAGTAGTGTTTCTAATTTTCAAGAATTTTTCTTAATGCAGTCTTGTTCCATTGTGTTCTACCTCTGGTGTTCCATCCTAGAAAAATACAAAAATTATTTCCATCTCTCAAATTTTGAGTCTATATCCAATTTACTAGGACCAACCAAGACTAACTATTTTGTTGTACTAGTTTTGTCCCCTCTAGTCCTCCATAAAACTCGAATAAAATCTCCATATTTCTATCCTAAAGAAATAATCATCCCTCGTTTTAATTTTTATTTGTTGTTCTAGCCTAGTAACTTGTTTCAACTCCATAAAAAAAAAAAAATATCAATTCTTTCAGATCTTATATAGGGTTTTTCTTTATTCATTTTCAAGTAGAATAACTAAATTCCACCCATTCTATAAAAAAACCTCAATCTAAACCGTAACCTTGGTTTGTTCTAGATAGAACTAACTTGCATTTCTTTTGGAGCACATTTGGACCACTTAAGCCTTTCTCATTTATAATTGATGCCCAAGTTTACTATATTTGGATATCTAAAGAGATATATCCAATAGGTAGAAGTTGGAGTTTAATTAATGGGCAGATTGCAAGAATTGTGCATTACCATCCATCCTCCTTAAAACTTACCTCCACATTCAAATTAAAATGTTTTAAACTAACCTTGACTCTTTTAATTATTATTATTAAGAGATTCTCTCATCCACTAATTGATCAAATTAGTGATCTATGCCCCACCTCAGCTCCCCATCACCTTGTAACTCATGTTTGACAGAATTTTATAATTTGCCTGGAGGGGTATGTCATCTAGCGTAGTTCCGTATGTGCTTTTACAATTTACTCTTATGATAAAAACTATGGTGAAGATTAAATCATGTGCTAGAAATGCTTGCATATCTAATTATTTGAAAATGAACTTAATAAGACTAAAATTATGAAATCTCAATTGCAAAGTCAACACAATCCTTCCCAAAGTCTTGTTTGTGTTTAGCCTCACTACAATATTAATTATGTTCTTATTTACATAAAATATCAAGGAGTGATAACACATAAATGTGCAAAAGTATCTTTATTTAAAAGTATCATAAAAAATAAATTATATATATATATATATATATAATCATTTTTAAAAAATTATTATTTATTGAATCCAAAATTATTTGTGAACAACAGCTAGACCATCCTCACAAGACTTTTATGATATTTATTAGAAACAAAGAGAATATAAATAAGGTGAGACTAAGAATGCCCATTAGATTTGTCAATAGGTACATACTTCTAGTGCTAGTGATGTCATAATCCCTAACTTTCCCTTGAACACCCCCCTAGACCTATTTAATAAGCATTTGTCATTAAATCAAGAAGGGAAAGTAGATATTTTATAAGGAAGTATGTCTTTACACTCACTAGAAATAATCATGGTTAATCAAATACTAGTGATTATATATAATCTTAATTTGAGTGATGTTATTACCTCATGAAGATGGTTACTACTTAGGACTGAGGAGATTATGGACTAGCTAAATTACCATAAGCGATCAGATCCTTAGACAAATTGTCCTTTTGAGCCAGGTAAGTTTTAGTGAGTTCTTTAAGTGAGTTGTGGTGAGTCGGCAAGCTACTAAGTTTGTGGCTTTTTAGTGAGTTGATGAGTTGAGTTACTTGTCATACCCCATAATTAAATTGGGAAGAATTACACATTTTAATCTTTTAAATAATCAACGTGAGCTTATATGAATTTATCAATATAAATCAATCAAGTAGAAACAAATAAAATCATTTAGATCAAAATATTTCATTATTCATTTACCAAAATTATATTTATAATAGCCAGGAGATCACTTACAATCCATAATCTATCTTAAGCTCCTAACTACAAAAGACTAAAATAAAATAAAATAAAAACCTTAAGATCTCACTCCATACAGTCTTGACCCATTCCTTAACTTGAAATCAATAAAATCTACATATTGAGCTTATAAAGCCTAGCATAAATACAAAATATCACTAAAGCTTTCAATGCAATACTCAAAAATCAATATTCATGATCATCTCAATCAATAACGTTCAATATCATCAATGATTATTTATCACTAATACAATTCAATATAATTAATAATGAAAAGCATGAATCATTACACTTAAATCCATAAATTAATACAGGTGTGAGAATATAAAAGCATCAATGATGAGTAAATTAGTAAAAACCAAAGTATCTATAAAATAGCCAGAAATCATGTCGATGTAGTGGATTCATATGAAAGTATACATATGAAGTTCAATTATTCTCTATTAGTATATAATCAATATCTTATATTATTTTCTCAGTAATAAGATTCATATACTTAGTGATAGTATAATGATACTAGAGCATTAATAGTGAATCAGTAAATAATGGATCAATGATAGTAATCAGTAAATTTGTATAGTAAAAAGTAACACATCGGTGCTAAAATCATGAATGAGTCTATAGATGAATCATAAGCATATTGGTGTTAATAGCATTACTCTTATACATCTTATCTATTATAAGTCATATGCAATATGTACATGTATCAATTCATATGTTATTAATGCACACACATTATGAATATATCTATCAATGCTATTAATATATACATGCATCAGTATATGATTCAACAAGGTAGGATATATGACTTTAATGTGATGTTTATATTCTTTCATATGTATTTACTATTTCATTATGTCATTATCATTATCATTACCTTTACCATTACTATTATAGGTGGTTTTCAATATCATTAAGAGCCATCACCTTACTTGTCTGCAGTGGCGGAGCCACGATGGGGGCACAGGGGGCACGTTCCCCCACTGACTGACCAGATGCGAAATTTTTGGGTAAATTTTCTATTTATATATACAAAAGAAAACCCTAATTCTAATTCTATTCGTGCTTGTCAGACTGCCACTATACGCCTCGAGATGGTCTCATGCTGTCGCCAGCCGTGCGTGAGGAGAGTTCTTTGCCGAATTGCCATCTCTCGTGATCCCGTCATCTCTGTTTGCTGAGGAAATTAAAGATTTTGGAGAGAATTTACTGCTTCCGCTAACCAATAAGTACCTTTGTGTACAAATTTTCTAACTTTTTATATCTATTACCAGTAAGGTTAATTCTTTTGTGTAAAGATTTTCAAGCTATTTTAAAGATTTATTTTATTTACAGTAAAGTTAGATGGATTAAAATTTTAAGGATTAAACTAATAATTTTTTTTAGTTTCGTGTTAATTTGAACAATTAGCTTAATACCAAACTTTTGGAATAAAGCACATCATTATGATATTTTCCAACCTAATTTTAGGTTCACAATTTTGGTTAGTGCTTATATTTCTAAGTATAAATTTATATTAAATTTTAAATCTTCAAAAGATTTTGTCAGAAACTTTAGAAAAGAGAATTTAATAAACTATAATTTTAACATTTTCAAGACAAGGATAGCAATTTTCTATTCAAGTTAAAATATCTTTAATTAAAAATATATGCTATTTTGTTCAAATATTTTTGTTTTTTTTTTATTTAATTATATATCATTATTGTTTTTGCCATAGAAATGGAGAAATACTTCAAAAGTAAGGCAGAAGTTGTTGAAAAGGATATTTGTAATAATATTGATAATGAAGCGATTGTATAATGCTTTTAAAATATGAATACTCAAAAGAAGAAATTGTAGGTGTAATGCAAAACAAATATGAATATAATGTGCTTTTAATTGTAAGTTTTTTAATTATATAATTTGTCTTTTTAT